CCGGCCGTCGGTCAGATCACTTTACATGTCAAAGCTCGAAGTAAGAACTGATAAAAATTCGTCAGAGTTATTCACCATTTGATTACTTCGGAGAAGTAGGAACCCTGATACAACAAATCGCGAACAATCCCTTGATCCCCAAAAAGGACAATCTACTCATCGTTCCTAGCGTTCAAACGTCCTGGACCCCAGAAAGCGTGTGGGATACTGGCATCGTATCTTCTTATTCAAGCAGTATTCTCAGTCTTGCAGTCGAGCGGTAAATACCCGGTCCTCACGATTACCGTCGAGGCTTCTCACTTCCATTCCAGATACCCTGACGACAATTGCGCCGCTGTATATCCTTCCCGCGGTGGAGTCGTGCAAAATCCGCAGGACATCTTCATCAACTATTTGCAGCACAACGCTTCCACGAGCATGGCCTCGTACTATACCAACTCGACCGCGTTTGCTGTTCAGAACGGCAAGCCGTTTGTCATGTTTGAGACTAACACCGCCTCGTGTTCCGGCTTTCCGGGAATTTCCAATTCATTTGCTGCGGCGCTTTGGGCGCTTGACTGGGCGCTCACGATGACGTACAGCAATTTTACGGGGGCGCTATTCCACATCGGTGGACAGAACGCGTACTATAATCCGTTTACCCCACCACCGACCAACCAATCCACGTTCCACCAATGGACCGTCGGGCCCGTCTACTACTCTGCTTTGGTCATGGCCGAAGTGTTGGGACCGCACAATACGTCTCAGGTGGTTGATCTCACGTCGAACATCAACACTCCGATTTATGCCGTATATGAGAACGGCGCACCAACGAAAGTGGCGCTATTCAATTTTGTAACAGATTCGACTGGCGCGTCAACGTATACCGCCACTATCTCCATCGGCGGCGGTACCACGGGCCAGAGCAACGCGACGCCTTCGCAAGTGCAAGTCAAGTAGGTACTCATTAATCTCCTACGAGCTGTTTTTAAGCGTCCTGTCTCATAGATACCTCTTGGCCGAATCTGTTTCGTCAAAGGGAAATTTCACCTGGGCGGGCCAGGTACGGGGCTCATTTCTTTTCCAGTTGCGTGAGGTCTCACGGATGCACAGACGTTCGGCAACAACTTCGGGTCGGACGGGCGGCTGGTCGGGGACCTGAACGTGACGACGGTGCAGTGCGACACGACGGCCAACACCTGCGCAGTGCCCGTTCCCGCTCCAGGCTTCGCGCTCGTCTTCCTGACCAGCGACTCGCTCAGCGCCGTCTCGCCCGCCTCGACCGTCACGTACCCGACGACGGTACAGTCCCGCACCGTCAACACGATCTTCATCGACCCGTCCATGCTCGCGACGGCGTACGGCCATTCCGGCATGGGGAACATCCGCGGCGCGACGAGCCCCGGCAGCAGCTCCGCATCGGCGCCGCGCGCTACGCTTCCCGGCGCGTTCGCCCTGTTCGCTACCGCGCTGGGCGCGGTCGTAGTCGCGCGGAGGTGGTTATGAATGATGGAAGGGCTTGTTTATTATGTATGTATTCGTCATTACCGACGGACCAGGGCCTGCTCGCGAGTAACTTAGACCAATACCAAGTGGGTATTTGCATTTCAGACGTCCCCTGGCTCGGGATCGCTCTCAAAGGTGCGACTTATTGCGCTAACATAAGTTACGCTCGTGGACATTCGTCTTCACGTGCTTCCCTTGATCAGATTGAAAGTTTAAATGTCATAGTCAGGATTACGTTCTGCGAGTATTGTAACAATACAATCACACTCAACAACGACACAAGTACTGTATAAATCTCCCTAGCAGTGTCACCGCAACCGTGCACGATATCTACTCTACGCACGTCGCGGCATTCTTCCTCGCCTGCCCGATTAAAGGTCAACGTGGACCCCTCGTGAGACCGTGATTCCTTCGCCCTTGCCGTCGACAGAGCTTTTCTCGTCTTTCTCACTGTCTTCTTCGGCGGCGACAGCTGGCGTGGCGTTTTTCCCTATGTATGCATGAGGTCCATGGTAATGTCGGCGACCGCTGCGAAAGTAAGTCAGTACTGTTCATGCACTTCGTTCGTAGAGTATCACGTACTCTATGAAGTACCAGATCCTGGCACACAAGTCGGCTTCAGCAGAACGTCAGAAAGGAAGCATATGTGATTACGTACATGGCTAGAAGGGCGATGCTGCCTGTAATCACTGACGCGTAGTTCATCGTATCCTTCGTCACGGGTAGATATGTCGGCAAAGAGAAAATGACCGAGACGAATAGCGTCCACACGATACAGTTGATGTTTACCGCCCATCCGAACCATCCATCTCCCAGGTAGAACGGCCCGGGTTTGAACTGCACTTCTGGGTGATGCTGATAGATGCGGCGGAGCGCTATCGGGATGATGTATGAAATGTCGAGTGCCATGGCGGTGAGTGAAAATATTGCGTTTACTGCAACAGGGGAGGCAAGACCCAACAAGCCGGGGAGGATGCTGAAGATCGTAGTGAACCAGATGGCACGCATGGGTGTGTGTGTCCACTTAGAAATGTGACCAAAGTAACCATTGTCGGGAAAACCTGCATTGGCGGGTGAGTGAGTATTGGCACGGGGAGGGGTGAGTCGTACCGCGGTCCCGGCTAAAGGCGAAAACCATCCGGGAGCAAGCTTGGAGAGCAGTTTGACAAACGAAGAAGGCCGTAAGGCAAACAAGTGTCTGAAGACAATCCAGTTACGCTCAATAAATGTTTTTACGGCACATACCCAGAGGAACAGCGCCGTGGGTTTTCCCATGCGTAAAACCATAATCTAGGGGTATATCGATAAGATATGGGCGGCACAAAGAAACCCATCACGTACCTGAAGGAAGGCGGATCCAGATGGACCAGGGAGGTCCCCTCTGAAGGTGATGTCATCGGACGACGTAAAGAAAGAGTTGGCCTAGAACGCACAAAGGACCAGAGCACAGCACCAGTACGATGTTGAGTAGCCAGCCAAGGAGACCGGTCCCTATAACTACAGCGCAGGCTTGAGAACCGAGAGAATGGTCTCTTTACGTATTACTCACCAGCGATAACGATGGCAGCCGGCGCTTGAATTAAACTATAAGTAGAGCGCCACAAGTTGGTCTACTGTATGCCTACCAGCATAGGAAGCACGCTTGACTTCCTCCCTATAAAGATATAAGATAAGCTAAGGCAACCCGAGTCAAAGCTCAGATCACGTACGAAATGTGCGCTGTTGCGTCGTAGTCCTGTTCAAACCCATTAAGATGTAGGAATTTGAGACCTTGAACCCAAACGTACCGTCATCTGCGGAACAAGCTCGTCAGTTCAAGCAAATTGGGAAACGGAAATCATCTCTAACCGTCCATTGTACGCTGAGCAGTCCGAATAAGAATGCCAAGCCGCCGTTCCATCCGTTTGTCTGATTGACGAGACCATCCGAGCCGAACACATAGTTCGCGGAGTGCATGTTGTGCCGCTCGGTCGTCGCCAACAAGACGATGATAATAACTATATATGGTGGTTATCGATATGAACAAGATGGAATGATGGAGCTGCTGTCACGTACGGGAGGTTGCACCAAGGTTGATGAACACGAATCCCTTCGTGAAAGTCGCGAGATGACGCGTGGCAAAAGAGTTCTACACGACGCGAGTACGGATGGTCCGCAACCATACAGTTGGGAGCCGTTTAATCAATTGTAAGCCCTGAACTGGACGTACCAAGACCCCATTGAAGATCAATAGCGCAGTAAAGAGGCCGACGATTTTACCAGAAGTGACCTCGTAGTCTCCATCCTTGGCGACGACGACGGCAGCCCAGATCATGACCGAAAGTCCGTATTCTGTCGAGGCAAGCCCAGCAACTTGGCCAAGAGTGTTGAGCCAGCCAACAAGCCAGCCAACCTTCACCAAGATTAGGACAAGTACTGTGTAGACATAGAAGGTACTCACAATGGGCCTCTGTTTCGCTGGCACGAGTTTGGCGGACGCGGTGTATCTATCACATGACCATTTGAGCGGGGGTGAGCCGCAGCTCGAGCAATTACGCACAAACCGCCGCAAGCGGGAAAGGCGCTGACAATTTCAGCAATTGACGCCCCTGTATACCGGCGTCAAAACAGTGGAGTAAAGAAGGCGGAGAAAAGAACTCGCCTAAAGTGAAACACATGGTTGCTCCGAGGATCCAGCACCACGTTACCTATTGAGAATATTCTAATAGAATCATCGACGGATATGTGCGGAGCATGTTGCCGTACTGAGGAAGGACCACCTAGGAGCAATGGCGTATTGAATGTGGTCGCTACGGATGAGCACAGGCCCTTTGCACCGATATCAGTGGGTGTGGCCTTAAGCACGGCGAGACGGTGTACATACCATGATACTGAAGGCAAAGCTGATCTGAGAGGACGAAATTGTCCACACGCCGATAAGGAAACGGCGAAAGAAAAGGGTGGGGTGCACATACCGTCGCAAGGTTGCTGAACTCCCGCTTGAAGGAGGGGACGTATCCCATGGCCTCAAGTTTCTTGTCATCTTCATCCCTGTAGTCAGTCGCGCCATTCTCATGATCAGGCATGTTGGAGGTAGGAGTGAAGGCCCGAAGAGAGCAACAGTGATAGGATTCGGGACTCGGGAGATAGGGACCCGTCAATGGAAACGGAGTTCACATGCGCCATTTAACCAAAAAGACCGTTATCGAGAGATAAGAAGTGTGATTTGGACGCCCGTGGAGAGATGGTTTAGCAGAATCGATGTCATACGTGTTTAGTCCTTCGATCTCAGAGATGTATAGCTCCGTGGCTCCAGATCCGAGTTCCAAACAGGAGCGACCCTGAACACGCAGCTTCGTCAAAATCAAATCGGCCATGATACAGTACACAAGAGGGACATAGTAAATTTACCAAACACAAAGCAACAAACACGATCGTTGATCAAAGTTCTGTTCCACGTTTACCCCGAAAGGTTTACCCCGGAAGGAAACTGACGCCCCAGGTCCTTGTATGGCAATACTTTGCCTCAAATCAATGCCCGCCTAGCTCAATCGGATAGAGCGTCAGACTCTTATGCGGGTGTTCCATGGTGATCTGAAGGCTGCGAGTTCGACCCTCGCGGTGGGCTATGAGTTTTCTTTTTCTTTTGACTGCTTATGCATCCATGGTTTGTCACGATAGGGGCTATCTGACTAAACCTAGGATAGTGACTCATAATGACTCGACCTGCTACTATATAACTTGCACAGTAGTGGGGTGAGGTTCCCCAGACCTTTACCACCAGTCTCTTCAAATCCCACTGAGTGCTCCTTTTTTTGTCTTCCATTCACCCTCCCTACCCTTAGTCTTGGGTAGGACCTTCGGAGCTTCTGCACTCTGAGCTATATCAGAGTGTCGCACTCACACCGAACTCACTTGAGCGCATCCTTGGAGGCCCTGCCAACCCTAACGTTGTCGACACCAACAAGTCCTTTACAGTACAACGTGTTACAAGGCGATCGCTTGCATCTCCGGGCTACACCCAACAATCATTTCCTATCCAAATCGCCAATCGATACTATACCCTGGCGCCAAGGGGTTGGTGAAATACACACAGCACCATCAGCCCACACACTCAGAGCTACACATCTCAAAAGTGGTGGAGAGACCCACAAAACATCGCATCCAATTACCGTCCCCGGAAAAAGTTACTACCGCCGCCACCGCAACCCTAATGGCCAGCAGAGTGCTACGCGGCAACCCCCAAATATTTGATGGCACCTGCACAGAAAGCCAAGGATTCTTGGTGGCCACACAGCTGTATTTGATGATGAACAATGTCGGTGACGAAGCCCAGAGAGTTAACATCGCCCTCAATCATATCCGTGGGGAACGTGTGGGCAGTTGGGTCGCCGGCAAGAGACGCTGGTTGGACGCAGTATCGAACGATTCGGCTCTCCTCCAGGGACAAGACATCTGGAGTGCATTCGAGGATGATTTCCTCATGGAATTCGCCGATCCCGCGGAACGCGCCAAAGCCCGAAAGAAGATCGAAGAAATCAAGATGGAAGGAGTAAAATTGGACGCTTACATCCAAGATTTTTGCAACCTCGCGCGCTTGGCACTATACGACCAGGACGCGCCCTACGTCATTCACCTTTTCCTGCAAGGACTTCCTGCCGATCTGGTGCGGTGCTGCGTCGATCGCGACCTACTTACAAGTTTCGAGGATTGGGTCGAAGCCGCCCGCAAGTGCCACCTAAAGTACCGTCATATCCTAAAAGTCATGACCGCCCCACCACTCTCAAATGAAGAGGCACTTGTGCTGAAGCGAGCTGAAGAAAGGGCAGCGCGAGACCCGAGCACGACGACGCGCAAGAATGGCCTTACCGAGCAGGACAAGATCCGATACAAACGCGAGGGGAGGTGTTTTTACTGCAGCCAACAAGGGCATATTTCGAAGACGTGCCCACGGAAAAAAAGGGGGACGACGTCACGGCCAATAAGGAACGAGACGCAGAGCCCTCTCACGGCCGTCGAGAGGGCTTGGCTTAAACTTCGCGCATTGTCAATCGAGGAAAGAAGAAAGTACGTTGAAGAGATTCAAGAAGACCGGAGGGAGCTTTGGAACCGTGAACCAAATTCAAGCCCAACCTCGCCGGTGAGGACTGGCGTAGCCGTAGTCGACGACGGTGACAAAGACCATGAGCCGACCTCAAGCACGACCTCGACGATGAGGCCTGTGAGGACTGGCGTAATCGCAGTCGACGATGGCGGCGAAGACAGTGAATCGACCTCCAGCCCAACACCGCCGATGAGGACCGGCGTGATGATAGTCGAGGAAGACGACGAGGACAACGACGAAGCACTCAGGTTTAGGAACCGTGGCCCGTCCTCAAGCCCACCCTCGCCAGTGAGGTTTGAGACGACTGGGATAGCCATAGTCGAGGGAGACTGGTGGTGAAGGTCATATTACTAAAAGCAGCCAAAATAATGGTCTCATTCCCCTGGTTCCGTTTGCATCTGTACGTGTTGCCTCGTTCGTGGTCTACAGGGTTTCGAAACGAATTGCTGGCGGTGTCACATCCTCTCGAATGTACGATAATGACTCAGTGCGGAGTAGTACGAGTTTGTATTTTGTAGCTTCAACTTGAAGAGGATATGGAAGAGAATTTCAGTACTTTCTCGGTTTCCGTTACCTTGGAGTTTGGGGCTCTGCCTCAGGCCCGCATGCGGTGGGAGTCTGAAAGATTACTGCACAAGACGCACAAAATTGAGTGTAAACACTGTTTTTTTACGCGGTATGATGCACGAGACGGCGTCAAAGAATGAAGAGAGCAGGGTCTACATGAGGTCATTGACTCAGTTACCGCCTGTATAGTTAAAGAGGTCATGCGCGACTCATGACTTGCCAAACACTGAAGTTACTGAAGTAAGAACTAATGCAAGAGACCAAACAGCATATATCAAGCAGATATGAACTTTTAGAATGCAGCCACTGACAGTCTCATTGTCTGACCTCGTGGACATCCAAATCGAGAACGCCAAGGACGTTGAAACTGTAAAGGCGGCTGACAGAAACCGTTCATCTGTGTGTCAGAAGTCTTGGCACTTAGTTAAGCAAACCTTCTCCAAGACAAAACCACTGTATCGCCATGCATGCATGCCAGATGGACCGAGGCAATCTGTTTCGCTGTTTCGAAGGCTCGACGATTATTGCCAGGTTTCGTCTCATCTCTACGGCGCAAACGCAAGTGATCGAACCCGAAGCAGCCGGATCGGCATACTGGAATAGACGCCGGTAGCTCCACCAAGAATTCCAATTTGAGGCATCTCGAGATATCATCGGCTCATACATGAATCTGACGTACCCCGACACCGGACTCGTCGCATGTCCCTTTTATCCTCACAGGCCTCACCCCTCGCACACGACTAGCAGATGCTCACCCCTTCCCTTATTACAAGCGGCCCCATGCCAGGCCGGCGACACACCTCTGACCCCTTTTCCATGTCTTCGCACCACCACGAGTCGAATCTCTACGGGTTTTCGGTCATCCGAGAGGAAAACCGTGCGTCGTCCTGCGCTCATCTTATCTCTCTCGACCCTAATATGTTCGCACAGACTGTCGCTGGCGCCTCCCGCTATGGCTCCTCCTCTTTAGCGGGATGGTATCCGTCCTCACCCTTTCCTTCCTCCTGACCGGCACGGTGTACCCAAATTCGTGGACGCGCTTCAGTTCCGAGTCCATGGGCATGTTCTCGGCTGCCGAGGGTTTCTACCGCCCTGGACACCAGCCATCAACCTTCGACAACGCGGCTTCAAATATGCTAGAACCTGTCAGCCACGCTGCGCCCGACTTCTTCGCGCGAATATCGAGGAGTGGAGACATTACCATGGCACCAAGGAGCATCGGTCGCCCGTCCTCCTGTGGGCCAGCGACCCTCGTCGACAATTCCGTGCGTATTGCATTGCGCATATACGTGTCCCTTGCTCATTCGTTGCGATCGCTGGCTCTGGTTTGGGTCTATGATGTACAGGTTTCCCTGCTCGTCCAGGTCCGCATGCCACACGACACACCACGTGGCGCGCGATGTGCGGTCACATCTGGCATCACGCTGGCGCGGCGGCTCGAGGCCGCGGGCAAAGCCGCGCGGGTGCAGATGTGGTCCCTGGCACAGGCGACGCCAGACGTGAACACGTGGGGCGACTCTCGGCCCCAGCGCGAGGCGCACGTCGCTAGCTTCGACGTGCGACCGGGTGAGCTGCAGCTGCATTCCGCGGAGTTTGGGTGTCCGCCGCCGGCGCAGTCGGTGCAGACGTTCGAGGTTGCTTGTGCGGGCGGTGACAACGGTGACGACGACGCGTGCTCTGTGGATGTGTGGCAGGACCTTTTCAGAGTTGAGATCAGGGCGGAGGGCGTAGAATGAGAGGCTGTGCTAGCTGGCGGCTCGCAGGAAGAAGGGCTCGAATTCTGGCGGTGATTTCGGCTCTGGCCACCTGCAATCTGGGTTTAGGGTTGAAGTGTATGTACGCTTGCTTCGGAAGTTCACCATTCTTATAGCATTATTGTGTAAACGTCACCTTGGATGTTGCTTAGTTATGAACACGAGTACTGTATCACGATTGTCCTCTTCTGCGGGGAAGTGCGTCGACGAGATTACACCAAGTCCTTGTGATCTGTCTTTACTATAAATTGCGCTCACGACTACAGTACACAACGAGAGGAGACTCCTTTAACTAGCTTTTTGAAATTGTCCTTGCCTGATATGGCAAATCGCCAGACAGAGATCGATGAAACAAGATCGGATCTAGCCAAGCATGGCTCTGACGCTGGCGTTTCGACCTGCCTACGATTCGGAGGCCGAGTCGGACCACGATGTCCCTTGCTAGGCACGATGAGGGACTACCGTCCCTGATTCTATTATTACGCAACTCTCGAGCCATGTCTCGGGCAAGAGCCCCACCCTTGTTCGCCCTATCACAGGTACAGTCACCACTGTCTACCAGCACTGTACGATTGCCCATGTAGTGCCAAACTAGAGAGCCGGGACAGCGAGGGCTATCCATCGCTACTCTTTGCCTTGGAGATTTCTGCCCCGCGCCTGCGGCACTCAACGTGTTTAATCCTTTGGGACTAGACATTGTTGCACCGGGCCCAAACCAACAACACCTCACTACGCAAATATCGTGTATGCGGAGAACCACGTCTTTCCTAAGGTACATGCTGCGGGGTGCCAATGCGGGTCTCAAAGAAGTGAAGGTGTGCGTTACTTGAGTGCCAACCTTGGACCTGATATGGTCTTGACTAGACGGATGATGGTGAGGTAAGTTACTCCATCAACCGACGCCTGAACTATTCGGAGTCCGCGTAGAACTCTGACTTAGAGTTAACGTGATAATCCGATATCGCGTGAGGCTGCCGCTTCTGAGTTGATGGCGGCGGGAGTCCGGGCAACGACGTATGCCATTGGTGCTGGGAAAGAAGCCGGTAGGTTAGGGCAAACGTAACTAAGGAGGTGGGCCCTACGCACGTCAGTCCTTATGACGCCGAGTTCAGCGTTCTGAAAAGGGAAGCACCTGGTGTGAGAGGGCTATGCCCTAGCCCGAGGTGCTCTGGCCCAGCATTGATGACGACGAGTTGGCGATGC